CCCGGGGAGCGCAGCCGTGCAGCTGAGAGAGCTCCCGGCTGGGTCACAGGGCTCGGTCAAGAGATGGAAGAGCCAGCACCCTATTGCCCTTATCTCCAGACCGAGCTCTCTGGGGTCCTCGGGGATTTCGGAAATATGCTAGTCAACTTTTCTCACGCTGCTCAGTCTGGGCAATCGTTTGAAACCTGGGGAGGACATTTAAAGGACATTTCATCCAGTCCTCCCTGTGCCCTTTGCAGTGAGGACTTCCCTGGTGGGAGCAACGAGGTCAATCTGAAATTTCAAAAGTTGAGGAAGAGAAACATCTTGTGCTAAATTTTTCACGCTTTTCTCTTCTTCTGTTCCCTTCTCTTTTCCAACCGGTATAGATCTGAAAAGTTTGGGGGAAATGTAGGACAGAAAAAAAAAAAGGTGCCTTTTTTTAACCTTCTACTCTTTTGCGATAGGATTACCTTATGAGCTGAACTGTGTTATCAGGTCACAGACTGATTTCCCAGATTTAAAAAATAATCACTGTAATTCATTTTGCTGTTCTCAAATATACCCCTAAAGCCTTACACTTTATTAGCCTGCTGCTTCTCCTCTTGCAGTCTCATCTTGCAGTCCATTTAGATATGACTTTAGAAAAGCACTTGTTTTGGTCAGAAATCAGAAAAATTTCATACAAAAAATTTGTGAATCTTAAAAACAGCAAATTTACAGACAGACAATTTGGGTAGGGAATGGAATTTGGAGAAACATCTTGAAATGAGCTTTGCCATTTCTGTACATGTGGTCGTGGTCTTCTTTAGTCTGATTTAGTCTCAGCCTAAGCTGAGAAGGAGGGATCTTGCAGAGAAGAACAAGGAATAGGGATAGATATATGATGTATTCAACTAGTTTGAAATTTGGGCTAGTTATTAAGTGCCAGACCTATGTGTGCCAGGAGAGGGTAGCAAATGTTGAATATTAGAATGCAGGCAGCTGTATCTGTCTCCCCATCTGGAAATGTAGTGTATAATACTTTGTTTCGACATTTTTCTTTCAGGGACCTAACACAATCGTGATCTGCATGGTCATCTTATTGAACATTGGTCTGGCCATCTTATTTGTACATTTTTTGACATGATGCGCCCCTCAGGCAAGGTAAGAAGAGCAAACACAGCTAAGTGAGGTTTTATCCCCAGTTTGAGGGCTTCTGTAGACGTCACTGCGGGCATTTTATGGTTTACTAGCTTTACTGACAATGCAAATCATTCACTGATGGATGCACTGATGATGATGAAAACGTAAGGGCATTTATTTAGTAGGTACTACTTCTCTACTTTAGTTGTAATTTGCCTGCATATGCAGTGACTTGATTTTTTTTTTTTCTGCACATATGCTGCAAGGGACACTTTCAGTTTGCGGTTCCGTGGCCACTGCTGCCAGGTAATTCGTGCATTGCAATATTTATTGGAACTCAGCCCAGCAAGGCAGGAACATAAAGAAAATGTGCAAACGTGAAGTTTGCAGCTCTGATCTGCACCAGCGCTAGTTCTGCCACTGTCATTATGTAGTCGTGTTACTTAATGTAAATGTGAGCTGAGACTTCTGCATCTAACTCAGATTAAACTGGAGCTCACTCTGGTCTTCCACCTGAGTTAGGATGACGGTTTACATCTGGATTTGGTGGCAATGGAAACTTGTGAGGTTTCTTGTGCCTGGGTGGTTCCTGCACACAGGAATGTGTCATGAGTTTGCATAAGATTTCTGTGCTGTGATTTCTTGGGCTGAAATATTGCAAAAAAAAAAGCCCCATGAAGGCTGAACCTGACCCTTAGTCCTCCCGCTTGAACATAATACAAGAGGCTCCTCCTTAGCTCCTGTCAGGGTGTTGAGCTGCTTTCTCCTGGGGTCTCCTGGGTAATAAAACTACTCAGTTAGACACTGCTTTCTTAAGTCTAATTAATCCCCATTCAGACTGCACAGGTGAAAGCCGCGGGGGAAATGAATTGAAGACCTTTATTGATCTTGTCTTCTCTCAGCAGCAAATCTCAGTGGTCAACTTAGTTTAAACGTGCCAACCATTTGTTAAATGTTTTTCTGCAAAGGTCTGATTTCAGATTCGAACCAAATCTGTCCACAGACATCCTGCAGCATGCAAAGGACAGGGTCAAGCCACAAGGGCGCTGCGGAGCAGGGTACCTTCCTCTCCCAGCACAATCGGGTGGACAGGGATGGTTACGTGGCGGTTGTGTTTTGCTCCCTGTTGACTTTTCCATTCATGTGTGTCTGGAACAGGCGTTGCTGCTGATGGAGACCACGGACCTTGGCAGGGATTAAACTCTCAGCCACCTGGAAACATCTGAGAGGAGGGCTTGAGATCCCAAGGTTGCACTGCAAACATGAACCTTAAACGAAAGCTCCTGAAGATCTGTTCAGCCTCCCTGCTCCCAGTCTGTGGCTGGCCTCTGCAATCTACCAAGAAAAAGCCAGGATTTCTGCAATTCAGCCTCCTTCTCTTCTTTGTATGAAATAACAGTTGCCTTAAATTGATATCACCAAAGCCATCAACTGTCCTATCGTTCCAGGGATGAGGGATTTATCTGTAGCTGTAGGAAAATGGATGAAGGTCTCATCCATGCACACTCAGAAGTGTTTTTTAACTCCCTTATTTGACTCTGTGTCAGAGATTTCCCAAAGAAAATCGTCCGTGTCCTGGAGATGAAGCAATATACAGCAACCAAAATGACTCGTGAGAGCCACGCCACGGCTGGGGATGGACAGCGCAGCTCTCTGCACTCGGAAGTCCCCCAAAGGGCCGAACAAAAAGCCTTCCCTTTCCCTGTTGCCTGGAATTGTTTTCTGCCTATAGAGGATTGAGAGGGGGAGCAAGTGAAGTTGGACATGTTGAAGTGTAAGCAGACTCCAGCAGGATCCCCTGATGTGCCTGCGGAGGAGCCACGGGCAGGGGCTGCACTGTGCGGGCTCGCGGGACCGGCGAAGCCAGGGCTACCCATGTGAGCGGGGAGTGCCGCGGGGAGACGGGGCCCCGCAGGGACCAGGCACCCTGCCAGCTCTCTCTTGTCGCCACCAACTGTCCTTGCAGGAGCATCTTGCCGCAGGTTGCATCCTGCTGTGATTGGAAAGGAAATAGATAAATGTGCTGAATTTGCCCCTTCTCCCCTTTTTCTATGAAAACAGTGCAAGTTATGATTAAAAGGAGGTGGCTCACAGAAAAGCAGCCTGCACACCCACAGGTTGCTCCCTGTCGAAGCCCCAGCCAAGTTTCGCCAAGGCGGTGAGCTGACTTTCCAGCCAGTGGATGCGGGATTACCGTCGTGGGAGTGGTTAGGTTATTCCTGAAAGCAAAAAGGTGCAGAAACCTGAGTGTATTTGGGTGTTAGGCTGAAAAGTATGCAGCAGCCAGACTTTGATCAGTGGTTGAGTATGGAGGGGAAATTCTGGCTGCTGTTCTTGCATGAGAGACTTAGAGGCCTTGGCAAGACACACTGCTCCTTCCCAAGAGCTGCAACAGAGAGCGACATTTGAAGGGAAATGTTTCCACCCTGATCTGCTCTGACCCTTAGTAGTGCGAACTTAGAAATATCGGCACAGATGAAGTTAGTTTAGTGTGAGGCTGAGCGCTTGGACGTGTTTCTTTCTTCTTAAAAGCAATATATATTTTATATCCCTTTTTAAGATAATCAGAAATGTTATTTATAGTCAGTTGTGCACCTCTGTATCCTGAAGTCCCACAGTGCAGAACAGGCTGAGAAAACCTGAGGGACTGGAAAGAGAGGGGAAAAGATGGATGAGGAAAAACAGATACCCAGTCTGCTCCAAATGCTAATCTGAAAGGATTTCAAAGACAGTGTGGCAGACAGGCAGGGGTTTACACTGCCTAGAGACACAGGGCAAAACCTAATTTATCTCCTCTAATTATGCCGTAAGAGAGTGAGAATAATTCAGTACTCTTTGTGAACCAAGTTTATTTTTTAGCCTTATTTAGCTCAGGAATGTTGGCACAGTCGCAAATACGTGGTGTTAACTGTGGGAGAAGTGAATGCGATCCCTTTCTAAAAGCCACGCGGCTGTACCAGTCCTGAAAAAGCTGCGCAGCATCATCTGCGCTTCCACAGAGCATAGTTTAGTAGCAGTTTGCTTCTTTCTTTTTCTTTTCTTGAATATAAGTGTATTATGAACCCAGGCTCCATTGCTTTACCCCTGTTTGCTGGCACTCACTTGCCAGCTCTGCAGTTTCAGTATGCCAGCTGCTTTCATTAACTACCAATACGATTTCTGTTGAGAGACCTGAGGGGCCTTTATTTCTCACTAAGCATAAAAATGGATCTTTTTCAACAATGCTAAGGCAATTCCCCCCTCCCGCCCCAGTTTTGTATGCATGTGATGTGCGCTCGGTTATGTGCTTTCTTCCTAGGAACGTTCTGAGAAAAGTAGGTAGATTTGCTTTTATGTGACGTATAAATATATCCATATTGCACTAAGATATGGATATATATAAATAAATATATAGCCCCTTAGGGATTTTGTTTTCTTAGATGCAGAATAACAACTTTACCTCAAAGTGCATGATTTCAAAACTGACGAGGATATGGTGTTAAACTTTTCAGGTCTTACGAAGGTGCAGATACATTTCACTCTTCACAAGAAATATCACAGATTTTGCAAGCCGTTTACTACCATCTGTGTAATACTGTCCAGAGTTTTCTGTCGGTTGTTCTGCTGGATTATGTGCAATAATAAACAGTTATCTGCGCACTGTATTAATGTGGACCTTTGCAGGAGGATCTCAAGCTTCCTTTCTGGGTCAACGCACTCGCTCCGGTCTTAGAGGAGAGCTCGCAAACGCCTCACCCAGAATCTGACAGGTGGGATCTGCTTGATTTTTAGTTTTTCCCTAATATCTATTCTAGAATCTGCTTTTTTGTTAACAGGGGGTTGCTTTTTAAATAGAATTGTTTTCAGTTCTGGCTGTTTAAAAGTTTGGTGCCAGATGTTTGCAGACAAGTCCAGAAATCCCGCTGTGCTCTCCGAGCAACCCCTGTGCGCTGGATGACGCGAGCCTGGCGCATGCCTGCCTCAGCCAGGAAACCCTTGCAGTGAATACCAAGCAAGTGCCAGTACAGACCCTCTCTCATAAATAACCAGTGGAGCATGTGTGTGACAGAGGAGAAGAGGCCTAATGAGGGAGACATTGTAATCGCAAGGCCTGTTGCACGAGGGTAGCAGCTCGTGTGCAGGGCAGCCTGGCTGCGTCCCTCCGGCGGCCGCTGGGCCGTACGCCTTCCTCCGCTGCCGGCGGATGTCACTGATGCACCCGGGGGTCTTCCAGCTCTCCCAGGCTACGAGGAAAGTGTGACGGAGGGGTTTTGCTCCTCACACAATGTGGGGGAAATATAGCAGAGCAGTAAAGGCAAGGCAGCCACTCCTGTAAGAGATGGCTTGGAAGTGAAGCGCCACTTCCCGAAAGGAAGGATTCCCAGACCCGCGGAGCCCACCGCCGAGCTGTGCTGCCCCCCCCCTCCCGCACCCCCGCGGGCCAGGTAGCCCTTTGGGCTGGTGCTTCCCGAAAGGGCCGCGCTGGGGGAAGGCTGAGCTCGGTGGTGACCGCGGCCGATGCCCACAGAGCACGGAGGTGAGAGGGACTCGCATCGGAGGTGCCTGGGGTTGCTCCCAGACCCAGGAGCTGGGCTTTTTGGGGGGCTGTGGTGGCCTTCAGCAGCGGGACCTGGCACCGACAGCACTGAGGCCTTCCACAGACACCAGCGAGGGCAAAAACCAGAAAATCATGGTCAGGGCCTGGCCAAGACTTGTACCTTTGCAGAGTCTGTGTCCCAGCTGTGGGATCTCCCCTCTAACACCAGGTCCCCAGTGCCTCCTGCCTCCTTTCCTGGGTGCCCTGTAGGTCTTGGCCAGACGGACAGCATGCTCCCAGGGGACGATGTACCTCTTAAACGTTCGAGGCTTTGCTCTGGGGCGGTAGTGACCTGCACATCAGAACTGGGGTTATATTCCTGCGTCCTTGCTCTTCTCCCTCAGTAAATGCTAATCAATTTGCTCCAATGGATGTGGCGGTTGCTCTATTCCTGGATAGTTATTTCGAGGGGATTATGAATTTTTCACAGCATCTTGGCACTCAGCACTTGCCTCCAGGCAAGACGAGCTCAAGGCTTCAAAATGCCAGGTTTTGACTTGTGTTGAAGGCAGAAGAAGAGGGTGGGGAATCCAACGCATCCACAGAAAATAGAGAGTTTGGACTTTAGGCCTTTTAAAACATCCCTTAGTAAACCTCAAACAGCACAATACGTCATGCTCCAGTCAGTCTGAAGGGATGCAGTACAGGAGACTGGGACGCTGTGTCCATGACCACCTCCATGTCGTCTCCAGCAAGCTGCTCTCTACAGGCGAAACCGTGGTGGGGAGCGAGCTGCCACAGCCTCCGCACAGGGTAAGGCTTGTCTTTACACCCCAGTCCTGTCATCTCTGCTTGAAAGAGGCCTGTAGCAGGGCTTGTTATGGTTAGTTTACAATGGTAAAATTCACACTTCTCCTTTTGTCCCATCCTTTCGATCTGCCATATAGGAGATGAAGGGAGCTCGAAGCTCTCTGCGCATTATCGCAAGAGATTCTTGTAATAAAAACCATAGCGTAGGGCTCTGCAGCCTGTGCTCATGTGCAAGGTTGACTGCACAGTTATCCAAATTAATTGTATGGCCCAAAATTATGTGCATGGAAATAGAGAGCAATAATGAAGCAGTTAGTTATAGATATACCTTTGAACAGGCAAGTTAGATAGCCAAGAGTGTGTAGGTAAAATATCCACCTGCAAATAGCTCAGAGTTTAGCTCAGTACCGGACTGTGTGTAATCCCCATCTTCAGCCCATACTTCTTCCAAAATATTTCCTAGAGCAGTGGAGAGCACGGCTATTCCTTGAGAATTTGCCTTGCAAGGTTTCCTAACTTTGCATTGGCATTTGCTTCGTTCCAAATCACAGTAAAGCCCCACAATTCAGACTGTTTTGTGACGGAATACTTGTCTGCCAAAAAATATCTTCCAAACCTTCCTTTTGACCTAATGAAAGTATTTTCTTTCAGTCCTTTCTCCTAGGTATTACATGACAATACAGAAAACGGCATTTCAAAAACAAAAAAAGGGGGATCTCTTTCATAACGAAAAAAAATCAAAATTCAGCATTCAAAAAATACTGAATCAGGACATTTCAGCACCTTTGGAGCTTTACTCCTAGCATTTCCCACAAATGAAATACCAAAATTGGCACCCTGTGAGAGGCAGCAGCCCCACTGGGGTTTCCTCCCAGCGATATAGCCTGGGCTGGGGCGCTGGCAGCGGCAGCAGCACTGGCACCTGCCCCAGCGGGATGCGGGGGACGAGGCCCCGCGGGAGCGTTGCCACA